ATATAAGGGTACTACATTTTACATGCAACATTCAGTTTTCACCACGAATATCTCAAATTTAACACATGAATTCAGAATATTTCAGAAGTGCAATAGAAATGGTTTAAAGTGCTCTCTACATCATCGTAGTTCAAATTATCCTTTAAGTAGTTAGACACATGGGTGTAGTGTGACATATTCATTCATAGTTAAAGACGCATAATAGAACATTCGGTCAGTAAAGGGACTCACTATGATGTTACATGTGCAAGAGGTACACAATTTTATATTGAAACAAAGTTTGAATTTGAGAAGCATTCTTTCTTTTCATCCTACCAGTTATCAGTTATCATGCGCGTGCTCCCTAAATGGAACTAAATATAGTATATCATACACCTGCATCGTGCAATGTAATGTACATTCTGCATCAACATATCACACATAACCTTAATTAGCCACCAACTAGATGATCTATAAACGATATACTATTGATACAAATGTTGTTCCTTGGCAGGCATTTTCGTCGAGCATTCCCACAAGCATGTCATGACTGTGGTCATGAACAAGCCTGGCCCAAACTTCATTGTTAAGCTCAAACTCGTTGAGGGCACGAGGATGCTTGTCACCATCGGCGGCCAATACCATATGCGGCATATCAACAAACCTAGACCTTGATGAGGATTACTTTGTCAACCAAATATCAAACAAGGATCATGGGTTTGTTAGATTGAACTACTACCCTCCATGCCCGAGACCTGGCCTAGTTTCGGGCATGAGGCCTCACTCAGATGGTGGTCTCCTTACCATGCATCCTTTTTGTCGACCACGATGTCGGTGGCTTACAAGTTGAGAGAGATGGGAAATGGTACAGTGTTCAAACCAAGCCTTATTAGTTCGTGATTAACTCAGCTGAATGCATGGAGGTAAGAAGCTAAGCACTTGGTCTCTTGAATAATCTACAATCATCGGTGTACATATATATATATATATATATATATATATATATATATATATATATATATATATATATCCCCTATTTCCTGAATCCTAATGCTTTGTTGACTTGTATGCAAATATTTGGGGGCAAGCAGACAATGTTTAACGGAATCTCCTGGAGCCCAGTCCACATGTGGTGACGAATGCCGTGAAGGAGTGGCTTTCCATGACCGTGTTCTATGCCATGGATGGGGAAACGGTGCTGGAGCCAGCGCCTGGTATGTTGGATGACAACCAAACCACCAAGATATGGGAAATTCAAGGCCAAGGATTTCGGTCTTTCTTTCGACTGGACGTTTCTGTCAAGGGATTCAGTGGTCATTATTTTTTTTATTTTATTTTTTTGTGTTGAATTCAGTGGTCATTATATGTGGAATTACTCTTTGCTTCAAAACACATACAGTTGTTTGTATAAATATGATGCTTGGATGTTACGGAAGATCAATGTCAACTGTGATGTAATGCATGGCAATGGCAGTTCCCTGGTTTTTTGTGTTAAAAAAAAGGCTATGTCAGGGGCGTTGTAACGAAGAGAAATTAGCCCTGTTTGCTCATGTTTCATGTAAACAAAGGCATGTTTCATGTTTCCATTTTGGAAGATAGAATCGTGGTTCAGCATTCAGCTTCACCTGTTGATTGTGCTCTCAGGGTGTTGTTTAAAACTAATTGCTGGCACGTCCTTAGCATATCTCTACATTATTGACTGTCTAGATTATTCTGTTTTTTTAAACATGGAAATCAGAGATTCTGAATGTCTGAAACTTTTAGTCATCGAGAGTCGGGCACATTTGGCTCCTGATTCTTGCACGGGACGGGAGCAAGCGCAGTTCAGCAACAAATTAGCTTACAATCCATAGGTAGCTTTTCTAATGCCATAAACTTAGCTCATCGATTCTCTTCAATGGCAGCATCTGAATGTTCAAACAGAGGAGCTGCTCTCTGTTTTTCCTGGACCTCTGCAAGGGACAACAGCAAGCATCTACTACTATGTTTTCCAACTAGTCTGGAACTGCATTCGTCCATTGGTACCCAAGCAACATGTAGTACAATTTTGCAGCACGCAACAAAGAACAGCAAAGGTCGAAAAACAGATCCTCCAAAGTTAAGAAATTGTGCAGCGAAAGATAATAGTAGTAGCAGTTTTCCATGGAAAGTTTGCAGCAGATGAAAACCCAATCGTCCATACAAGTCATTAGCTCCAGAACCGTACCAATAGTTGCAAAGCATCTAAAGGTTTCTATGGCAATAACGATTACTTAAGATACAAGGAAATCATCTTCCGGTTTTCAATGCCAGCTACAGAATATTTTGCATCAACTAATAATTGTTAGCTCATACCCACAAATTTCCATTCAATTTCCTCGTATCACAAACAACTGCAGACTTCAGTGAGAAGCTTCAACTTCATGCCCTATGCTCCCATCATCACCAACCAAACAAGGAGGCCAGGCCATGTTATAAGGATGCGCACAGCCATTAAATTTCCCCTCCACGAGCAACTCAAGCACCAAGGTGTCCAATGACAGGGAGAAGAACCAGCAGTGGAGCGTGCCGGCAGGGGTCGTGCATGTCGTGGACAAGTAGACGTATCCAAACCTGACCTGCACAACTTTGAGGTCACCCTGCAACTCCAGAGCGAACCCCTGAGTGATCTCGTCGATTTCTTCACTCAAAGGTATCATGTTATGCAGCACCCAGTTATCAAGTCCATAACCGTCCACACCACGGATCCAAACATGCAGGAAGAAACCAGATTCATAGACAATGCATAACTGTCCATCCTTAGTCTCCCCGGCCATGAAATTGTACCCCTCCAACATCACCTGCAAGGGTAGCTCCACAGTGGTGATAACCATGGTCGCTACGTTGATCTTTATCATTCGTCCTTGGCCATGGTAAGGCCAGTAAACAGAACCATCCACCACCATTCCAGCACCAAACTTTAGGCTGCAGTCACCACCAGTGTGTACCCACGGGTGGACGACCCACTCCCACGTCTCCGACGAGAAGATGGCGACGCGGATCCTTCGCTGATCCGAGCAGACGCAGACCACACGGAACGACCAGGGGTTCTCATCAGAACACAGCAGGTGGAAGCCAAGGTAGGCAAAATTGCGGCGTCTCCCGGCCTTGACACCGTCGGGCAACGGGATGATGTCCACAGCCCAGGTCATGGGGTTCACGGCGGCGACGGACGGCTTATCGAGCATGTTCCATAGGAGGATGTATCCATCACGGCAGTCGGTGATACTCCAAGCCGAGGATGCGCCAGCCTTGAGTAGGGAAGTGAGGTAGAAGTCCCCGCGGCGGAGGGCAGCGGTGACGTCGGGATCTGACCGGCGCAGAGGGACGAAGGAGGGGGTGGTAGCATCGTCAATTTCAAGAAAGAGCCCAATGAGGGGCGCCGGGTGGAGGGCGCGGAACAGGCGGCGGAAGGATGAGGAAGAGCGGATGGCTCCGAGCCAGGAGCGGCAGGTGAGCGCCGCACGGATGAGAGCCGGGAGGTTCGGGAGGCGGAGGAAGATCTCGCGAAGGTCATCATCACAGAGGGATGATATGGTTGTGGCGTTGGAGGTGGTTGTGATGGTTGTTGTTGTTGTGGTGGTGGTGGTGGTTGTGGTGGTGGTGGTAGTGGTGCCATCGGCGGCAGAGGAGGAGCATGTGGTGGTGGTGATTGTTGTGATGGTTCTGGTGGTGGTTCCGTTGCCGGTGGTAGTGGTGGTAGTGGTCGTGGATGGGATCAACGGAGGCTCCACCGGTGCCGCAAGCGTTGCTGTGAGCAGTTCACTGCCCATTGCTTGAGACTTGAGGTGATGCTGCTTCTAGATCCCTGGTTGGCCAGCTTTTCTGAAGACAGTTCTTTAGGAGCACAGCGTTCTCTGCTTGCGGCCAGCTGAATAAAACGAATGCATGCTCCCAGTTAGTTTATAAACTAGTTGTTGAAAGTAACAGAACTGGAATGCAAAACTCATGAGGAAATAAATAGCAGCAGTTACAATAGCCCCTTATATGACAAAAGTAGCAACTAGGGGGACTTACAATCCAGTGATGCCTCCGTGGCTCTGTTTAGCTGCATAGCATAATTTTGTACTGAACTTGCAAATGCTGGAATCTGCTCATGACATCCACATTAACCTCACCTATCGAAACGCCATCAACTAGGCACTTCAGTGGAACATACATATACTTGTGAATATATATCATGACAATGTGACTGTTTAAAAAAATGTATAGAGTCTGCATTTTGAACAGAAAATCAGGTGCACTATCATCATCACTTACAAAAAGCATGTACCAGTCGACCTTACATGCCCAGCAAATTCTGTGAGGCACAAGGACTTGACTTAATGCTGTAAATACCACTACACATAGGCACCCCTTCTTAATGCTGCAAACACCACTTACTAACCACACTGCCAAAGAAAATGCAATTTCCTCAACAGCTTCTCGATACTTACTATACACATGAGACAGTCCAACCATGTAAAAAAGTTGGGCAGGTGTCGCAGCAGCAGGGAGCTAGCCATCAGTTGCGCTTTCCGCTATCCAAGTTTGTTCTACCATCTAGTTTCAGGAGTAGGCTAAACTAGGGGTGGGAGATAAAGGAACGGCGGGAGTATATAGATATGACCCCTTGTTAATGCTATAAACACCACTCCACAATGCCAAAAGAAAATATAAATTCCTTGATTAATGCTTCTCCCTTCCATACTTACTATATGCATCAGAAATTCCAATCCTGTATAAAAACTCACCCTTTTATTATGGGATTGGACTGCTCTTGGGTTACCTAGAGTGGGCTACTAAGATAAAAATCTACCCTTTGAAGAAGAATTATCTAGAGCTTCAAGCTGTGGGACAACCTGAGTCTCTCTAGTTGGTGGCAACCTTGGTGAGGAAGGGAGACAATACGCCTATAAATAAATCCGTGGAGTTGGACTGAAATAGTTAGCTCTACAGGCGCGCACTTACCACCGGCCGGCGCTCGGCCGCCGCCGCCGCCGCCGCCGCCGCCGCCGCCGAGGATGGAGATGAAACCTGGAGGGAGGACCCCGCCGGCCGGATCTGGGTGGGGATGGATCCAATCCAATCCACGGAGCAGCAGAGCACACTCCCTCGTTGTCAGCTCTGCTCTGCTCTACTTTTTTTTTACGCTAGTTAGTAGCTAGCTGCTACGGCCCATTAACTCGCGGCCCAAGCAATTCAATCAGGAGGAGCTGGATTCTACAGGCTACAAGTTCACGGCCTTCTATCAAGCCATGCCATGCATTGCGTGCCTCCAACAACAACTTGTTACCCCCCCAAAAAAAAGCAACAGCTTCTTACAAGTTTCGCTCCAAAAAAAAAAGCACTTGTTACAAGTAGTTTAGACATGCCAACATTTTTCTAGGAATGCTCTTTTTTCTAAAACCACATTAAAACTTTATGGGCATCATAAACAATTTCACAAAGGCACGCGAACATGTGTTTTCTACCAGTGTGCCGTGAACATTTTTTAAACACCGTAAACACTTTTCTAAACACCGTAAGCGGACATTTCTTTTTTGAATGGCGTAAACATTTTTAGTTAAAGTATGTGTACATTTGATATGAATAGCGCGAACATTTTATTGGATGTACCGATCAGTTTTAAGAAAGGACGTGAGAACTTATTTATTTTTCCAAAAAAACATGTACACTTTTTGAACCGGGTGAACTTTTTACTTAGTAAAAATAGTTTAATATGATGTTCACACGGTGCGACCATTTTGTTGTTGAAAAGATGAACAAATTTATGGAAAAGGAGTGATTTTGCATATTTGGGCTGGGCCAGAATGCCCAATGAATCGATGGATGCGCACAGTGCTCTCAGCCTCCCACGTCGTCGTCTTCTTCTAGTAGTAGGAAAAAAGAAAAGAAAAGAAAAAAGTCTCTCTCCTCCTTTCCCCCAAATCGATCGACGGACGGACGGAAGAAGAAGAAACTCCTTGCATGGCGATTTGGTTCTAGCCTTCCTTCCCGATTATTCCCCTTCCTTCCTTCTCGCCCGCCCGGCCGGTTGCTCGCAGTCCCAACCGCCGGCGGCTTCCGCGCATCCAATTCCAATCTGCACGCCACCGCCCAGCTGCCGCCGTGCCCAAGGAGGAGGAGGACCCAAGGAGCAAGAACCACCGGGGCTCCTGGTCCGGGGAGCAACCAAGGTATGTATGCTTCGCCTCTTTCAATCAGATCAGAGGATTCGCCGCTACTGATTCTTACTAGCACACGCACAAAGCAAACATGTCCAGTAAAAACACATGTCGCCGCTACTGATTCTTGTCTCGCTAGATAACCAACCGACCCCTCACCTGCAGTTTCTGCATCATCTGCACTTTGTTTACCTCATTCACGACCATCGGGAGGGCAAAGCAGATGACAGATTGATACTAGATACTACTCCTATATTCATAGTCATAGGTAAGTTTTACTCATCTCCTGATGATCCATCCATCACTAAATACCAACTCAACTGGAATCATAAATAAAATAAAATAGCCTGCACATATAAAGTAGTACGTAGTATTGGGCAGTCAGATTCAGAGAATAAGTTGCAATGGTTGTTGGATTTTCGTTCGTTTCAGATAACAATCAATGGCTGTTTGTCATGATTAGTAAATGGTGAATCGGATTGGTCGCATCGCATGCAGGAAGGAGATAGATCGATAGATGGCGGAAATGGTCGGGCCGCGCGTGTACAGCTGCTGCCACTGCCGCAACCACGTCTGCCTCCACGACGACATCATCTCCAAGGCCTTCCAGGTGAAGAAGAAGAACAGGATTAATTCATTTGCTTCTCTTACTTGCTGACTTACTTTGGGCCCTGCGTCAGGGGGGATCAAGATTGGACAGACACAGCTTAATCAATACCAAATGTTGGACTGGTTGGGCTGTCATGCTAAAATTACTAGTATTAACTACTCACTTTAAATAGGTTCATCAACTCTGGTGGAGAGGTCCAACAATCTGGAAACGAAACGTTTCTGTAGCTGAGTCTAGCTAGCATTTGTGTTTCTATGAAGGTGCATATACTCACATAGTGAAGTTCCAGTTAACCATAGATACTCTGATCTGTACCAGCAGACCTCGATATGCTATGATAGTATATCTCAATTTTGATTGTGCTTGGAGGATAAATTCTAATGCTCTGCTCTTTTGGCTGCTCTTCTAGGGGAGGAATGGCCGCGCGTTCCTCTTCTCCCACGCCATGAACGTCACCACGGGGGCCAAGGAGGACCGGCAGCTCATGACGGGGCTCCACACCGTCGCCGACATCCACTGCCGTGACTGCCGCGAGGTGCTCGGGTGGAAGTACGAGCGCGCCTACGAGGAGTCCCAGAAGTACAAGGAAGGCAAGTTCATATTCGAAAAGGCCAAGATCGTGCAGGAGAATTGCTAGGCAAATAAATGAAACAAAAAGATAAGATTCAACACAAACACATGTGTGCTCCCAGGAGAATGCTATGCTCTCTCTTCTTTGTACATAGCAGCAGTCAGTTTTCTTCTTGTTTCTAAAACTACTACTACCAGTCTGTTGGTGTTATTTCCATGCCATTTGTGATTTCTTCTTTCAAATGGTTTGTGATTTCTTGTGTGGGGAGACAAGCTTGTTATCTTCATTTGTGTGGGAACCATTTTCTCATTGGTCATAAATAAAATGGATGGTTTAACAATGTGTGATTGTATTTCCTTGCTCAGATTAGTTGCATTTCCTCATTGATCACAAACAGATGGCTCATGACAAGCAACACAACACAACAAATTCATTTGATTTGGGATGAAAATTCAGTTACATCCAAGAAAAATACTATCAGGCATTCATCATTCTCAGCATATCAATTCAGGTACATCTCTACTTCAATTCTCTCTCTGTATAGGGAAGAAGAAAAATGGTACAGGTTTGAGTCCTTGGACCAAAACCCTAATCAATTCAATCACGACTTACTGCTTCTACAACCTACAAAATTGTATCCCCGCCATGGCGACAACACGCCGCTCCGTGTTACAGCAAACCAGTCAAGGCAGCTCGACCGTGTCCATGTCGATGGCGCTGGACAAGAACAGCAGACAATGATAACCTCTCTATCCCTGCACATGAGTTCCTGTGATGGGACCAAACCACGCAGGAGATGTCACAAGTACAGCGACGCGGCGAACACGATATCCCTCTTAATCTTGCTGACCGCCTCCTCGAGCTTGGCTTCGAGCTGGGTCTCGCCGATCGACTGGGACGCCAGGATCAGCTGCTGCAGGACCTCCTCCAGCCGCCTGATGGCCCTGATCAGGCTGCCTTCGAACACCTGTGTCATCTCCATGATCTGGTGGAACTTGGACCCTCTGGCCCACGAGTACACAGCCTCCATCACGTCGGGTCGGAAGGAGTTCACGAATGACTCGACGTCGATCTGGATCTGTCATCAGCAAGGCCATAACATAAACAAGTTTCAGCAATTGGGATGCAATTCTGAAGCATCAAAACAGCACAAGTGATATGGTATCATTGTCTGGTACTAGCATCATTACTGAGTACCTTGCATTCAAGTTGGAGGTTTGCGACCCTTCGTGCCGTCTCTTGCAACTGGTAGAAGAGCAAGTCGAGCTCCTCCCTTGGCTTTGGGGCATCCTGAAGCTTTTCCTGCCAGACAAAGCAAGAAAGCAGAGCCACCATCTGCTCCACGGTAGCATCCTTCAAAGTACCACTGAACATAAGCTCGGTCAATGTCAGTTCGTCGGCTGAGCTGATCTCACATGCCACTTTGCCCTTTATTTCGACCACATCCTCACTGGTGATGTATCTGAAATCAACAGGACACCACAATAAGGTTTATGAAAAACAAGAAAATGAAGATTGACGCAACAGATGGGTAATTTCTATTCACACAAGAAACAAATAACATGAACTTCCATATAATCTCGATACAACCAACTTGCACTAATGCATATCTACGAGTTACATCCCTAATTTTCAAACAATGAGGTTAATTATTTAACTCTTAACAGTCAATGATTGTTCAGTTTAGCAAAATAGTTGTGTTTTGTTGTTTACATCAGGTGCCCAAGCAGAAAGATCATAAATTTGTTCTCCAAATATTTACTAAGAATCCAACATATGCAGTGCACAACAGCAAGGATTTTTGTCACAAACATGAGAATGTTATGTTGCCTAGTCCATTCAATATTCGGTAACAAGAAAGTTCATTTTGCAAGTTTCTAGATGCAAGCACTCCAAGGACTAACAAAAATTTGGGCATTGAAGGATGTATTTTTTACCCCAGCCTACGAAGAACTCGTTTTCGTGCCTTGAGCTCATCCTTAAAGGCTAGAGCAGTCGAAGCCCGCATTGTTTTCTTTATGGACTTTATTTTGGCTTTTATTTCTTGCTTAGCATGTAAGACCTTCAGCTTGTGTTGGATATGGGGAGCATTACGGATGTCATGCTTCTCAAATAAGCTCTCGAGAGCTTCTATTCTTCTGGCAGCTTTCCGGTAGGAGCTAGATTTTACCTGAAAGGAACAAAATTATTAGGGCTAAATAAGTAGAGGAAACCTAACCATATGAATGCATTAGTTTTCCTTACTTCCATATCTTCTTCTGGATCCAATAGAGGAACCCCATCTTTAGCAAACCTTGAAAGCACTTCTTCAACTTTCCTCAAGGTGTTTTCTCGAGCTTCTACAGGCAAAAGATCCTTGGGTATGTACATCCGGACGCTGCTTAGTCCATCAATCTGATTATTCAGTTCAATTTAGGATTATTAGACTTAGAAAACAAACAGCTTTGTAATGTGATAAAATTGGTAAGAAGTGGAACATAACAGGTTAACTGGTGAAATGGGAGAAGTAAATTACCTGAGAAAGTGGCAACGAAATAACAACCGGTTCTCCACGGGATTTGATAGGAATAACCTTCATTGTCTTCTTTCCACTTATATCCTTGATTACAGAACATCTGGTGAGGACATCAACAGTGTAATCACAATCCTCTGGCCTTCTTTCTGCAAGAACAAAAACCAGAAGTCAGCAGAGTTAAAATAGCTACAGACAGTACCTCCCCCCTATTAAATGTTGTAAGCAATGACCATAAATCGTCAGAGATAGGATCACATTGTAAGGCAACTGTTTCATGAATTAAAACATAAGAGGGTAGGAACGAGAACAAAATGTGGTAGTATGAAACAAACAAGCTTAAGCCATTGTGTGAGTTGATGGATCAAAGAAAGAAACCCGTGAAGGAGTCATTCCTTCATTTGACACAACAAAACAGGTTAATGTAGGTGAGCTTACTGACCATTCACACAGAGATTGCTGCCATGATGGCTGCAGTGTGTAACTGGCTAATTAGCCACCAAACCATACAGGCTTGAGATTTCCACAAAGGGAATGTCATATAGTTTCTTATAAAGGGAGATTAATCTCCACTTGGCAATGACAGGTCAATTCCATAAACTGAAGCTGCACAATCTTTATATTGCTAACTAGCTGGAAAAAAGTTGCAAAATTATGGTCACAACTGAATGGTGGTAAGTGGTAACTGAAGAGTGAACCCCATGAATAAAATAGCAAAACTAACAGAGAAGAGTGTACGTATGTTACCTTCAGTATTGGTTTTCACCTTCTCAAAATTTATAATAATTCCCCACGACACATTTTCGTCAATAGAGAAGGTGGACTCATCTGTACTGTATTGAACACGAACAAGCCTTCCGGATTGCAAGAAAGGCAGAACATATTTTGGCGAAAGTACAATATCACGGACATCCTTCTTTAAAGTTGTGTACTGCTGTAAGAGATCATAGTAGTCCTTCACGCTCTCCTCGTCTTCAATAACCATGGAACTTCTTTCTATTTCCAGTTCCCTGACTTGCTTCTGCACAAAGTTCAAACAGAGGAATGTCAGGATAAGTTCCTTGCAACAATGCTTTAGTGGCTGGGGTTTTTGATGTATAAGTTTTTAGACCAAAAGGCACTGCTATGGTAGTTCACACCAGCCAATTTACCAACATAAAATACTATTCTAACTGGTATATACAGGCTAGTTAGTGTCATCTCGACACATGCAACGTATGCATACATGAAAACTCAGGAAAACAACCAACACTGTTTGGGTACAATTCTAAAAAGCCTTCTTCTTTGTAAACATGCAACCATATCATAAATGGCAAAAGGCAAGTAATAAACATTGTTGTGGCAGGAGCATCTTATTACATCTTAACGGGAACAGTGGGGAATACCCCTAGGAAATAATTATATTACAACATATATAGTACAGCAACCTTACATGAGTATCCATGGGATTCAAAGAACATGCATGTATGCCAAAGCTAACTAACAGGGTCATGGGCGAAAGGACGAGAGGCAGGTTGCAAATGTTAGAAGTTTATAAGAAGAAAATACTTGAAAAATATCAACAAACCTCAAGATCAGGGAGAGCTCTATCTGCTTGAAATTGGTAGAATGAATGTCTAAGAAGCTTTTCTGGATCACCATCCTCCGAGCGCAGTTGATTCAACAACATGTTGTAGCTCAAATGAAAGGCACTAATAAAGAAGATAGTAATATCAGAGCCAGCAAAATAGAAGAAAAATGTGACTTAAACAACTGGAAGAAACATAAAAAATACAGAAACAGTAAATGAGAACTTAAGCGATGCTAACTCAAGATTCCAAGATGCAATTAACTGGTATAGCATGAATTGACGAAACTACTTAGTTATCACAATAGATATGAAGAACAGTTTTAAGCATAATGTAAACCAAGTGAACATCCAATCCCAGTCTCGGTTCTCGTCACAATACTCAGCTGGAATGTATGTATGTTATTGTTAGATAAAAGTAGGAGCAAAGAATACATGATACAGACCTGTTCAAACTATCGGCACCTCCTTTCAGCATCATTTTGGCAGTTGAGGGTTCCATTTTCTCATCTACCATCAATATGCAGATACCACGCTGATCAATACCTCGACGACCAGCACGGCCGCTCATCTGGATGTACTCTCCACTTGACAACCATCGGAATCGATCTCCGTCAAACTTACGTACATTGGTAAACACAACAGTCTTTGCAGGCATGTTCAATCCAATACTGAATGTCTCTGTGGCAAACAGACACTACAACACCAGATTTCAATATCAGTGAGAAATTATTAGTCACAAAACAAAATTATCACTTACGATCCAAATAAAATAAACACTCGCAAATCATCAGTTCATAACACAGAATAAGAACAGTAAGTACTCAAAAATATTTAGACCTCACTTTCTTGCAATCAAATTTCCTAGTGCTAGTGTTCATATAAGAGCAGAGCTACAAAAAAATCTAACATACACATCTTGCATTGCAAGTTCAAGAACAATGCCCCATGTTCACTACAAAACTGCAATACAACAGCAACCATCCAAATGACCTAAATCCATCATCTGTTCCTTTGATGTGGACGACTGAAAAAAGAACTATAACCTCAGCTTTTAAAGGCATGCAGTTTTAGCTCAAGAGAGAAGACAAAGTAATAGGCTACTAGGCTGAGTATTGGTACACTACCACACTTCCAACAATATGCTAGTTTGGAGGCAACAGCCCAAGAAGTCATGAGAGATCAGTAATATTTGCTAACCTTGATGAGGCCCTCTTGGAAAAGTATCTCAATCACTTCCTTTAAAATGGGCAACAGACCAGAATGATGTACTCCAATGCCGCGTTTCAATAACGGAAGCATATTCGAAACCTGGGGAAGCTTTTTGTCATCATCTGAAAGCAAATCCATGGCACTCCAAAAAATGGTTTCAATGTTCACTTTCTCATCATCCCCATTCAAGTCCATCTTGGCCATCTACAACACAAGCAGCGCAGTCAAAATCAACTAAGACATTTACTTCCTTGAGCCAATATCTTGTAGATCGACTAGCGATATAGAAAAGAACTTACCTGCATAGCAAGAAATTCACACTCTCTTTTGCTAAAGCTGAAAAGTATCACAGGGTCATATTGACGCTGAATTATCATTTTCACCATCTTGAATATGTCGCTTTCTTCATTAGTTTTGCCTGCCGAGACAAGGCCCTTTTGCCGCTTCCCGTTTTCCCTCTTCTTGTCACTGCCAGTAGCAGGGGCAAGGACATTCAGAGATTTCTGAAAACTGTCCTCTCTGAACTTACCATTTTCATCAACGACCAGGTATAAGCCATCACCTCCAGCAGGAAATACATAGTGCTGGAGGGGTGTAGGTCGATAGTCGGTGTATACTATATGACAAGGTTGCTTATGTACCTGAGAAACAAAAATCGTACTACCTTAATTATGCAGAACTCGCATACGCTGAAAATATAGATGAATGATTGACCATATATGGAAACAAATGCATTGAGGCAAATAGACATTTATGTGCATGTCCCTTTACTATACTGAGCAGATAACTTCCTTTTGATTTCTTATTATGAACTATCAAAGGCAAGGCGGCAACATAAAAACGGAGGAAAATTCAGACAAACCTTGGCAACCCAATCAGCAAACTCCTTGGCATTAGGCACAGTTGCCGAGAGGAACACGAACCGCGAGTTTTTGGGAGCCATCACAATACTCTCCTCCCACACCACTCCCCTCTCCCTGTCACGCATGTAATGCACCTCATCGAAGATAACCCAGGCGACTTCCCTCATCACCTCGGACCCTTTGTACTGCATGCTGCGCCAAATCTCCGTGGTCATGACCTGCATTTCAGAGTACAGACACTTGCTTTAAGTACCAAACAGGCATACCCACACAGGGAGAGTGAAAAATTCAATGTGGTCGGCGATCGATCTGGTACCAAGCAGGAGGCGTTTGGCTCGATGGTGACGTCCCCGGTCATGAGGCCGACGTCGGAGAACTCCTCCTTGAACTCCCTGTACTTCTGGTTGCTGAGGGCCTTGATGGGGGACGTGTAGATGACCCGCTGCTGGTTGCGCAGGGACATGGCTATCGCGTACAGCGCCACCACCGTCTTCCCCGCCGACGTGTGCGCCGACACCTGGTGAATGAAACACGCATGAGAGGCGGAGCAACTAGCACTGAATTCCTGTGGGGGGAACTTGGCGGCTGGACCAATTGATCGGTCCAGCAGGCGGAAGCAAGTAAAGGCCAATTTTTTACAGTGGAATTACATTGACCAGGAGAAGCTGGGCCAAGAGCGGCGTGGTTGGGGTGATGGGGGGATTGGATTTGCTGCTCACCATGACGGACTCGCCGTTGTCGAGGCAGCGGATGGCCTCGGACTGGAAGGGGTCGAGCGGGAAGGGGAACGTCTTGGCCGGGGCCGCGCCCTCGCCGCCGCCCGCGACGACGCGCGGGCCGGAGGCGGACGCGTCGTAGCCCTCGGGGTAGGAGACGTCGTGCAGGCAGGCGACGCGCTCGGCGGCGGCCGGCGGCGGGGGAGCGGCGTCCGCGCGCGGCGCCTTGAGCGGGGGGTCGGGCCCGTCGGCGGGGGCTTCCGCGGCCTTGCGCTTGAGGGCGGCCTCCATGGCGCGGCGGACGGCGGCGGCGGCGGGCTAGGGTTTATGGAGGGGAGTGGTGTCGATTGGTCGCCCGCGGGGAACTTGTCTGGCTGTTTCGCCTCTGCGTTTGGGCCCCGCCTGTCAGCGTCCGGGATTATGACAGGCGTTTTCTGTGGCCGAAAACGGGTTTTGAGGATTGTGCATCTTGAGGCTCATGCACGCTAACAAACCAATGGAAATGGAGATTTTAAAACGTTTACTTTGATACGTATTTAGGATTAGGAATGGCTATAAGACGTGTGTTAGTTGAACTAAGCGGTGAATAGTAACCGGCATAGTGTTACAAAATTTACCATGGCTTTTCCTGCATCTGTGTGCTTGACCTACGGAAACAGTCTTTCTTTTCTTGCGGGGAAGATAGTAGACAAGTTGAAGGCACGACACAAATAGGTTCCAAGTGTTTGAATTCAAGCTCAAGGTTTAAATTAAATTAAATATTCGCAACAAGTGTGCGTTGGTCCTATGATCACGTATGTAAAACCATGGCACTCGGAGCTTTGCGCCGATACGATTACAAAAGAGTGCGCACGTCTCACACACACCGTGAGCTTGTGCGCGAGCTTATTTGCAGAATGAAACACACTTGCTAGTGAAGACAGTATAGATACAACTCACAAGCTTTATTTATCTGGCACTCGCTAGCTAGTGAAGCGGGGGGTGTCTTGGAGCTCAAACATCTTGGTGACCATGGCCGTAGTGGTAGCTAATTAAGCATCTGGCGGTGGTAGAAAAGGGCCTAGTAACTTCATGAGCAGAAGGACATGCGTCACAAACTCCCCACCGGTACCTAGATGTTGGGCATGGAAAGCCGACCCACATCGAGGTGCGATGTAGAAAAGCATCTCTAGCCATACCTCCGCGATGAGGTCCCAGCGGTCATCTGCAGACATGCCACCCATCTCGCCCACCACTGTACATGCACGAGGCAACACCGGACAAGTAAGAGCCTTTATATTGTTTTTCAAAAGTTGCACTTGAGTTATCGGCTCATTGTTGCTGCTGCTACTAGGAATGTCCACGCGGATTGTTGTAGCAGCTTGTTGACGCCTTTCTAGGTTACGTTCAAATATTTCAAATGGAAAAGATCCAGCTTCATTGATTTCCTTGCAGGTGTTGCTATGTATGAGCTTGGAGCTGCTTCTAAGCATCACATCACACTTGAAGACAAGGTACATGATATAGTTTGACAACTCTCTGCTCACCTTCATCTTGTTAGTTTGATGATAATTATTGCTCCTATCGTATCCGTAGTAGCATAACTCTGTTGCAGTGTGCCAGATCATCACACTTGTTGGCAAGTCAGCACTATCAATGATCGTGCACATAGCAGTCCACCTCCGGAGCGCTATCTGTCCCCGGAAGCTAGCAAAGTTCCAACATTTTTTATCCCCCATTCCCAAGTCTATCAACTTGCCAAGGACAAGCTCCTCCAAATCTTCACTGACAACGATTCTTGAATATGTCTTGTCAATCCATTGTGATAGTAGTGACTTATTGCATAACTCCATGCATAAATCCATGCATGTAGCATTTTGCCTGGCACACCATTCCATGATGTTATACTGTGAGAGCATTTTGGACCAGTGTTTTCTATGTCCGCCTGCGGGGTGAATATAGCTAGCTAAACAAGCTACAGGCGGACAAGATATTGCTTCTTCAGATGCAAAGTAGGAAAGAATGGACAAGAAGAGAGATGCCACCTCGAGGATTGTAGCTCCTATGAGTAATATGTAGGAGATTGTGACATCAGTCTGGGTGTAGAGTTGGGCCTTTTCGGCATCCATGAAGAGCTTTAATGTCACCAAGGCCGAGATAAGTGGGAAGAGTAATAGGAATGAAAAAATATGAAGAAGTATTGTGGCTAATGTTTTTTTATTGTAATCCTTTACTGCTTTGAAAGTCACAGACCAGGCAAAATGAAGGAAAGCCTTGGTGTAGATGGCTTCATAAGAACGAACTAGCCGTTTGCTTACATAAACATAGGCTCCGAAGCGGTTGGGGCTGGATTTGAGCTCATGTAGCAAGTCCGGTATGATATGTGCACCTTCAATAGTAGCCATATCATTCAGAGGACTATCCAACATTATGTTTGAACCGTGAAGGGGCGGTAGCCTCACTTTGTTAAGCATCATATCATATAATCTTTGCACTAGTATTTGCTCGCAGGAATACCTCCCATCAGAATATGGTGCATTGTATATGCCGTTAACATATTTATCCAAATTAAGCACCATAGAACCCCGGAAAGACTCTGGTCTAGACATGTAAAGGCAAAAGGTACGCCCGATGTACTTGAAAACCCCAGACAGGAACATGAGCACTGTGGCAGCTAGGAGTAGTCTGTTTTGCCAAGATGATATTGAGATGACGTAGCCAGCCACAGATGCTTGTGTGACCAATCCTAACAAGTGGCGTCGCCAGAGCTCGTTATCATGCGTAGAGAAGGCGGTGATAGTGTCTTGCCCTCCCAAGTGGAGGAGGAGGAATGGCGCCCAGAAGATAAGAAGATGGTGTGAGCCGCTTGCATGGACTGCGAGATGTCCAAGAACAAAAATGGCCACGGAGTCGGCCGATAAGTAGGCTAACCATATAAGGAAGTTGAGGACGCGGGACACACTATGCCTCCGCATGCCTGCTGCGAAGAAGAGGAATACTTGTAAGCTAAAGCTTGCAAGTATGAGGCAATGGATACTTGTAGGCTAAAGCTTGCAAGTATGAGGCAATGGATTTCCCATTCGTTCCAGAGCTCTTGGACAGTCTGTAAGCTGCGGATGGCCAAGCCCAAAATAAAGAAGTGTCACTCACTAGATCATCAAATATTGTATCGTTTGCTCTGCCTACTAACATGCATTTCGCTGTTTTCTTCCTTTTTGTATATCCAACATAATAATTTATAATAAAAAAATTTAAATCCTTAATTGCTTGAGATTTTTGCACCTAAAATTGCACATCATTTGAAATAAAAATGCAGCATTAATAGAGTATCATTTTAGCAAAATGTAACCATGACTTAGTCTATATCTAGGTTATATACGGAGTAAGATAGGTATGGTGGTGGTTGGACGTCGACCAAAAGGATTTAGGAGGTGCTGAGCTTAAACCATATTTGAGGGAAATATAGTATTCTCTCCTCCCTAAAAAAATCCTCTAGGGTTTATCCATGCAAAACATATAGGCTCTCTTTATGTGTGTGTAGCTCAGGAAGAAAGCTATGGAAATAGACAAAAGCAATGAAACTAAGGGATGAATTACATGGGCCTGCACAGGCGAACACACCCTTTCCTTTTGAGGTTTGAAATTACTAGTCTCGTATGCATTGTAGGGTTAGTCCGACGCGGAGTTTCTGCTCCCGGGCTCATCTGCACCCGCGCTCAGAAAAAAAATCAAAACAAATATTAGAAAATTCAAAAAAAATCCATTTTTTTGTGGTAGATAATTTGATGCCTGAGATCCGCTTCAAATTTCAACTCATTTGGACATCTGATCAGCTCTCAGCAAAACAGAACAATCCAGGGTCTGTAAAAAAGTTTACTGTTCACGCACTGTTCTGACCCGATTTGTCTTTTTTGCCGAGAGCTTCTCAGATGTCCAAATGAGTTGAAATTTGGAGCGGACCTCACGCATCAAATTATCTACCACACACAAAAAATGGATTATTTTTAATTTTTTGTAGTATTTGTTTTGATTATTTTTTTCTGAGCAGGAGCAGATGAGCCTGGGCACCGAGTTGGATTCCCGTAGTCCATATAACTACATGCACTCTCTACACTTTGGTAATGTCTTGTGACAGTTGTCTAGGACAAAAACAAAATCCCGCAAAATAAAATAAGTTTTTAAAAAATTTGTATGAAAATGAAAGCAAGGAGTTGCATATGCATTGTTTACCTCTGTCTTTGGATGGCATTGTCCCCTCCAACTTGCGCGGTATCCCTTAGTGGCCTCATTCCCAATCAGGTGGGGAGGCAAGCAAACCAAATTGATGGTGCTACTGTTTGCTGCATGCACACGAAATGCATAGTAGAGTATTAATTTATACACATATGCACGAGTGGAGCAAATCTCAAGTCTTCGGGGAGATGCTTGCTTCCACGAAGAGCAAGTGAGCACGTGAGCTTTAGCATCGCCTGTGTGTGTGTGTGCGCATGATGCATTGGCTTTATAGCATTATGATTCAAAACACGTCTGCTACTACGTTATTTCCCTCTTGCATATTTTTCCCTTCTGAAATTACTTGTCCAATCCGCAATCCATTTGAAGGTGAATATATGAAGTTCCTTTAAAAAAAAAAGTTGCGCAAGAAGGCAAGAAGTGTATTCTAATCCCTTTGCTTGTCTTGGAATTCTAGTATATATAGCGAATAAAGCTCCTCCAGAATAAAGGCGAGAGAAAATTCTTCTTGTCTCTAATGGAATGGTCCTGCTGATAGCTTTCCAGCGTCCGGCCGGGAAAGCCAAATTAAACTCCGGCACCCGATCCACGGGGAAGAGAGATGGAGCTTTTTCAGCGTACATCATCGGAATGCATGCATGCATGAGCGGACTGTGCTGTAACCAATGATTCGATTTTTCTTCTTTGAATACATGTCAATTCTAGAGCGGATACATTTACATATGAGCAACTTTTTTTTCAACGTAGGATTACTTGAGTTTTACGGGCTAATCTTGACATGGCAATTACCTATTGGATTAAGGGGGGAAGGGGCCCCACCCCGGTGAAAATCAGGGGGGGGGGGACAGAATTGTATGGAAAATCCCGTCTGTTTGTAGAGAGCGGTTAGTGGCAGAACTCGTTTGTTTGTACAGCCTCTGCATATGGGCCCCACCTGTCAGTGCCTGGGCTTGAGACAGGCGTTTTGTTTTTGTTTTTCATCGGTAGAAGAGGTAGGCGTTTCCGTGGGCCGAAAGCGGGTTTACAAGAATGTGCGTCTTGCAGTTCATGCAAATGCAAAAGCTTGAAACCAAGGGAAGTTTTTGCTAGTTTTCTTTTTGTGTAACTGACTACAATGTGGAAGCTCACACACGCACATGCACTTGTCTGCGGCGTGACGTGCGCGAAGCTCGATTCCGGCTTTAGACCTATGAAACGCCATCGACGCTGGGGAAATGTCGTTGACGCACGAGCTGGGAAGTTGCCCGTCAGAGCCATAAGATGTTGATGGCACCCCTTTGGAAAATGGGTTATCGTCCCGGAGAAGAAGGTTGCACGACCATCCCAGATCCGACTAGGAGGAACAGGGAGAAATAGCCTCACAAGTTCCCCAACGACGCCGAAGCTAGCCAAGCGACGTTGGTCGGAGAAGGAGCAGAGGACCAACGGATGAAGTAGGACTGCCCACTCCGCCGAAATACACCTTCGAAGATAATCTGCATAACCCACAGACACAATAATAACCACCACCTTACACATTCGAAAGCTTGAAGCCATCACCGCCACCGGAAAAAAAACTCTAATCCTATAAGACGTGAATATAGTGATGCAACTTGGATCCATGGTATGATATAAAGCTGAACTATAACATGCATGAGAAAGAATAATACAAAGTTCAAATATATGTTAACCATGTGCATGCACTGAAGTACACAATGTGGGAAGGGAAAACACTTTCAAATGAAAAACGGTGAAGGATCGGTTCTAGTGCGCATGGATCCCATGACCACAAGCACCATGCATGGCACTTGGAGCTGGCATTAGCTAGCAAGACACAATACAAATCATTTGTACATGTGCACGTCTCACACATGTCGTGAGCTTGTGCGCTAGCTTATTTGCAAAAGGGAACACACTTGCTATTTACAAAAATATTTAAAGATATCATCCGTAAAAGAAGAAAAAAAAGATACAATGCACAATGTTTCTTTAGTTGTCGCTCGTTGATGAAGCCGGGGCAGAAGATGCTGTCTTGGAGCTGGACATCTTGGTGAGCATGCCGGCGGTAGTCGTGGTATCTAAGCATCTGGCGGTGGTAGAAAAGGGCCTAGTAAACGCATGAGTTGGAGGACATGCGTCACGAACTCCCCGCCGGTACTGAGATGATGAGCATGGAAATCACCCCCACAGCGAGGCGCGATGTAGAAAAACATCTCCAGCCATACATCTCCAATGAGGCCCCAGCGGCCATCTCTAGGCATGGTATTCAGCTCGTCGGCCACTCTACATGCACGAGGCACCACTGGAGAACGAATAGCCTTTATATTGTTTTTAAGAAGTTGCATCTGAGTTGCCGGTTGGCTGCTGCTGCCGCCCATATCGTATGTATCGGCTGATTGTGGCTTTTCTCTGTTATTAGCTTCAAGCACCATCCTAATAGCTCGACCCCTACTGGCTATATCAGCATATGGTCCAATAGCTTCCCTGATTTCCTTATGGGCGAGCAAATGTACGAGTTTGGAGCTTCCTGTAGGCATCACACCACACGTGAAGACAAGGTACATGATATAGTTTGATAGATCCCTGCTCACCCTTGTCTTCTTAGGTGGATCATTGTTGTTTTCTTCAGTCAAGTAGCATATCTCCGTTGCAATGTGCCAGATCAGCACACTTGTTTGCAGGTCTGTGCTATCGATGGTCGTGCGCATAGCGGTCCACCTATCAAGCGCTAGCTGTCCACGAAAGCTAGCAAAGTTCCAGCCTGCTTGCTCCCCTGTTCCCAACTCTAACAATTTGTCCAGAACAAACTCCTCAAGATCTTTACTTACGGGGATTCTTGAAAACTCCTTGAGATATTTACTGTTGGGAATTACTGAAAATGTCATTTTAATCCACCGTGATACAACTGCCATGATGCCTGTGGAAGCTCGCTCCATGTGGTATTCGAACATGTTATACTGTCCAAGCATTTTGGACCAGTGTTTTCTATGTCGGCCTGCGGGGTGAACATAGTTGGCTACACACAAGGCTATAGGGGCAAGTGGAAAAGATGTTGGTGCTTCACTTGATGCGAAGTAGGAAAGAAGGGACATCAAGAGAGATGCCACCTCAAGGATTATGGCCCCTAGGAGTAATATGTAGGAGATCGTGACATCGGTATGGCTGTAGAGTTGGGCCTTTTCGGCAACCATGAAGAGTTCCAATGTTATCAAGGCCGAGATAACCGGGAATAGCAAGAGCAATGCCATAATGTGAAGAAATGCTATGCGTAGTTTTTTGTGCTCAAAAAATTGTGATACTGTTATGCTGAAACAGTTAATCCACGCAAAATGAAGCACAGCCTTGGTGTAGACACGTTCATATGAACGAACAAGCATTATACCAACATAAATGTAGGCATTGGAGCGGTCTGCGCTATACTTGAGCATATTGAGCAAGTCTGGTATGATAGTCGCGCACTCAATAGTAGCCCTATCATTGAGTGGAGTATCCAACAATATATGTGATGAACTGGTAGGGGGCATTAGCTTCGAGTTGATGTCGCTGCGCATCATATAATGTACTCTCCGCCTTAGTATATCCTCAAATGATTCCTTTTGAATAATGCCTGGTATATAGTACATATCGTGTACATATTTATCCAAATTAGCCACGGTAAAATCCTCGAGGAGCTTTGGACTAGATGTGTAAAGACAAAAGATACGCCCGATGTACTTAAAAACCCCAGACAAGAACATGAGCACCGTGGCGGCCAGGAGTCGGCTATCTTGCCAAGACGATATCGAGATGACATAGCCGGCCACCGATGCTTGGGTCACCAATCCTAGAAGGTGGCGCTGCCAGAGGTTGTTGTCTTGCATGGAGAAGGCAGTGATAGTGTCCTGCCCTCCCATGTGGAGGAGCAGAAACGGCGCCCAGAAGATAAGAAGATGGTGTGAGCCACTTGCATGGACCGCGAGATGTCCAAGAACGAAAATGGCCATAGAATCGGCTGATAAGTAGGCCAACCATATAAGGGAATTGAGTATGCGGGACACACTATGCCTCCGCATCCCTGATGCAAAGAAGAGGAATACTTGTAGGGAAAAGCTCGCAAGTATGAGACAATGGATCTCCCATTCGTTCCAGAGAACTTGGATGGCCTGCAAACTGCCGATTGCAAAACCCAAACGAAAAAAATCGTCACTCACTAGATCGACTAATACTTTATTCTTTGCATGTGTATTAATATGTGCTAGTTTTTTTAAATATCCAACATAACTTATATTAAAAAAAATCTAATTCTCATTTATTTGAGATTTTTGCAGATGTCAAACACACCCAAAGCTACATATATTTATAATAAATTGTATCATTGACATAGTGTAAATTTAGCAACATGTAACTACTATTTAGTCTATCTCTAGGGTTTATACGGAGTAAGATTTGTATCATGATGGTTGGATGTTGGTCAAAAAGATGTAAAAGGTGACTGGGATCCAACCATATTGCAGCCAGATATAGTAATTTCTCCTTCCTAAAAAAAAGTGTTCCCCTTTGTTTTGTCCTATAACTCAGAAAAATATCATCATCTACAATATCAAATCAATGTCCAGAAAATTATTATGAAGTTAGTTTATTTATTCAGTATATGAATTGTTAATATTTCTGTTAAACTAACACAAATTACCAATTTCCTTTTTCCTTTTTCCTTTTGAGGATCCAAATTACTAGTTTCGCATGCGTTGCAGAGTTAGTCCATGTAATCTTCCCCGCAAAAACAAAAGTCCATATACTCTACATACTTCCTCCATTTCATTTATCTTCACATATTAGAAAGTTTGACTAAGTTTGTAGGAAAAATATCAACAATCACAATACTAAACCACGTCACGAAATATATTTTCATACTGATTTTTTTGGTATCATAGATGTTGATATTTTTCAATATAAAACGGATGGAGTACTTTAGGAATGTCTGGCATAAGTCATGACTTAAAAGAAGATATATAAGAAAACGAAAGCAGGGAGTTGCATGTATTGTTACCTTTGTTTTTGGATCGCATTGCCCCCTCCAACTTCCTCAAAACTTATTGGCCTCATTGAATAAGGTGGATATGGATAGACAAGAAAAGCAAGTGAATGGTGCGAGATGTTTTGTTGCTGTACGAATGCATATTAATTTATACATGTGTGTACGAATGGAGTAAAACCCAAGTCACGGGGAGGATGCTTGCTTCCACGAAGAGCAAGTATGCACGTGAGCTTTGAGCATGCATATTGGTTTTATGAAAAAAAATAAGTTCCCAAGTTACTAAGATACAAGTAATATAAGATATATTTTCATACACTTATAGTGATATAATTTTATATCCGTTTCATGCTGCTTTTTTTCATCAGAAACACCGGAAGCAATCCACTTTAATAATATTCAAGAAGCGTCAAACCATTTTCAACAAAGGGTGGAAGAAGCATCAAACCTGTATACTCCCTCTGTCTGAAAATACTTATCGGAGAAATGGATAAAAATATATGTATCTTATTTTCTAATGGAGGGAGACGTATCTTCTAATCATAGTGGGTTAACCATCGTGGTTATCTCTCTGTTTCATGTTTAGTATGTTCTGAATATATATACCCGGTTCCATAAAAGAAATGTCTGCTACGTCCTTCTCCCATTTTCATAAAGTTCCTCAAAAGTAACTATCCAATACGCAATCCATTTCCGTCCACGGCTGGTGAATATATGAAGTTCCAATTTTAAAAAGGGAGAATAAAATTCCTCTGCTATGACGTGCAGAGAAGCAAGGGCTATTCTAATCCCTTTGCTTGACCTGTATGCAATTCCAGAATAAAGTTCCTCTTGGAAAAGAGAGTAAAATTCCTCTGTTCTGTAGTAAAGGAATGGTCCTGCTGATACCTTGCTCCACAGCGTCAGCGAAATTCCGGCATCCGAGAAAACCATACTCCGGTGACGCCTGGCATCTCGTGCTTTACCCGATCGATGGGGAAGAGGCAGAGCTTTCGATTTGGATGCATGAAAGCTCTCGGTTTTGCTTGTTTGCTCGACATTTCACATGTGCTTCTTGCGTGAAAATAGATCTCTGCTAGACCAATCGAAAGCTGTTACTCGCTCTGTAAACAAATATAAGATCGTTTAGATCACTACTGCACATCCACGCGGCTAAATTGAGCAAGATATGTCGTTACATTTGTATTTTCATGTAGTACTTACTTTTTTGCGGGTAGTATTTTCAGTACTTGTTAGGGGCCAACTATTTGCCAGTTGCCTAGAAAAAAATTGCTCTCAATGAAACGGCCAGGACATCTTCCTCATCCCAACGGTGACCCACGCCAACGTACCGTCGTCAACCCGCCACCGCTCCTCCACACGTGGCGCCATGGCCAACCGTGTCTTCCTTGGCTCTGGCGCGGTTTCGGCCCACCCTCATCATCCGGCTTGGACGCTACTGTTCGCACATGAACACGTCGATGTCTTCGTCACTAGAGGATCGATTTCCTACTAGGCTACACAGAGTCCTTGAACCACGACGCTTTGTCTGGGGTGTTAAAGATGTATATGTATTCTAGCAAAAACCCAAAAAAACATTCAAAAATAAGAATTAATTCCACTTTTTACCCCAAGTTTCATGTTTGATTTGTGACAGATATTACTCCATTTAGTAAAAATCTCAATTCAAACGCCATTTAAGCAAACTTTTGTGACATTTTACCCCCTTTAGGGGTTGTTTGGATAGCAAGATTATAGGAAATTAGTTTTCGTTAAATTCAATTTCTGGTATAACCGCCTAAAATCTTGTTTGGATTGCCTACCTAAATCTGAGATATATAAAACTGAGTTTTACATAAGCCTGGAAACCTTGTTTGTGGAAAAACGACTAATTGATGTTTTTCTATAAACTCATCTTCTATCTAATACGACAGCCATTGGAGAAGAAAAACGGACGTCCTCTGCAGGCACGGCAAGAGGTCAACGAAGCGCCCAAGAGGACGTCCTGCCGTGCCTGTAGAGGACGTCCGTTTTTCTCCTGGATCGCCGGCGTTGACCTCTCGCCGCACAGTAAAAAGAAACAGACTCAACCGAGGGAATGAGGGAGGCGACTGCGGGCACACCACCCTCACCCTCTTGCATTCGGCGCCGGGTTGGGGGCGTTTCTGGGCGCTGGCCGACGCCGACACGGACGATGATGATGC